ATCTTCCTTGTTGAGCTCGACGTAAGTCTGTTATATTTTGGAACTTCATATATCATTGCTTCTCAATAATTTTTATATATCGTTATATTTTTCGCATTTTGGAAATTCTTCCACTTGTTGTCCATTCCCATACTTTATATTATTCACGACTGAACAAACTCCTAAGTACCTAACGATAAATACTCTTACACCAGCTGATGCCATAATAGACTTATGACAATGAAACCTGGTTCTGTTATGCAGAAGCCGGCTTTCATGAGTACAGCGTGACCAATCGACTTGCACAGTTCCTTACCGTAGTGAAAGCACTACCACGCGAATTCAATGTGTACGTCACACATACTATGTTCTCTAGCTATGTTCCTTAAACTGATGAAAATCTCAAATGATATATTTTTAGACACGGAAATCTGACCGATCAATAAAGGTTAGATCAACTCCTCGATAACATCAATCAATAACATGGATCCGCAACAGACATGCTGTTACGAATGAAGGCTAAGACAAATTTTCTTGTATACGCTTGCCTGGTAGTGCTTGCCGAAATAACTCTGAAAACAGGCTTGTTACATCTACCAACCGAATTATCGGGACTACCAGAACTTCTAGCGACGAGACTTTTTTCGTTGAAAGAAAAACCTCAAAGGATACGAAATGACGTTAACAATCTCCATCATAAACTGACACGTTACCTTCGTTTTCATTATGACAGAAGACAATATCAAATTCTTTGAACGAGTACTTCACGAAGAAGATCTGTCTCCAGATCATAAAAGACAGATAATCCTGATTGGTGTCAGTATCATAATGAGCATAGAGAGTCTCGAAATTGTGGAAAACGCTGCTGTTTCCCGTGCTTCAAACCGACCGACATGGGGAAAGTTTCATGGAAATTGGAACCTATCCGTTTCCAACTTTTCATTTCACTAGGCTTGTATGTTTCGATGATAAAAGTTGCTACTGGTTAAAATGTTGTCAAACTCCAAATATTTGTGGCATCTTTACGTTTCTTTTACTCAATGCACTTGTAGCGTGGCGTCGAGTTGAGGTTAACTATGAACACCGCTACCAAGAAACACGTGCCAAGCGAATCAGAAGGCGAGGGTTGGCCGTAACCAAAGAAACCGATGAAATCCCCGAGAAGCCAAATACCAGAAGGCAATTAATGGACCAAGTCGATGTTTATTTGCTGGCGATCTCGTGGCATCGAAAAGATACCGAGATTGTGCCAGGATACAAGCTTGGTTACAGAAGGTAACCGAATTCGCGCGAAGTTACAATCGAAGTGTGTAAGTAAAAGAATGGAAGCACAATATAGCTGTCATTAGCACAGTCAAACAAAAGCACATTAAAACAAACACTGGTACAGTTGGTTATAATAATAATTGTTTTTATTAAACCAGTCGTGTTCTCGTGATAAACGTGAGTCACTACAGGAGCCCCCCGCTAGAAAGAGTTTACACTTTCGATAAATAGCGGTTTGAATCGTGGGACTGATCGGCTGACTAGCGATTGTAGGACGGAAGAATTGGCGAACAGGAAAGCGATCGTTGATCGTCGAGTTGCCGACGAAGGTCGTTTTCGGAGAACAGTACCAGGAGCGATGTGTTGTATTTATTGCTCGAATTGGCATGCTACACCAGAGTGGTTTGTATCCAGAATCTGAAGAGAGCGTTCGTAGAGGTGCGCACCAGAAACGCTGCAGACGAAGGACGAAACCACGTTGAGCCAAAAGACTAGAAGCGACCGTAACGACCAAGTTCGAGACCAAGCGTGTGTCAAGCATTCGAAACCAATATATCGACTGAGTGCGTTGACAAGAGCATGGGTGATCAGGCCAGCTTTCGCCAAAGTTGACTGAAGTCGACGGAACCAAACGGAGATGGTCGAAGGCGTGGGCTCAGGAAACAAAAAGAAAATCAAAAAAAGAAGAGTGTAGCATACGTGTAGTATAGGAATAATCCTACACCGTATCGGTTGTTGACTGTGCGACTATTCGCGGAAGCGTACGGGTAACCGTACTCGGCGACCGGAACGTGAGACGGCAGTCTCGTTCGCGTCGCGTGAGCCTGCAATCTCATCGGAAGTCAAGGGCGGCGTGATCTGCTGATCTGGACGTGAGACTGTCGTCTCGTCCGTTGACGGTGCAGATGACGCGTGCTGTTTACCGGGACGTGAGAATGAGGTCTCAGATGTATCTAGCGTGGGACCTGAAGAAGATTTAAGGATCCCGCTAGGTTTGATAGGTCTAGCATTGAATCTCGGGGTGTCAGATAGGGCACTGTCATCGACGTGTGCTGGGTTGAGACGATCAATGCTGACGATCTCGACGCGTCCATATCGATCAACCTTGAAGGTCTTTTCGTGACGAGCGATCACGTGAAAAGGACCTTCGTAAGGTTGTTGCCAAGGTTTGTGTACCGAATCTACTCGTACAAAAACATGTGAACAGGTAGATAACTCTCGAGGGAGAGCGACCTGTCGATGTTGTATTCGAGTTGACACCGGAGACAGCGTTCGCATAAATGCAGACAGTCGATGGACGTAGTCTGATTTACCGAAATTAGGTCTGCTCCGTGGTGTGAAGAATTCTCCGGGCAGACGCAATGTCGTGCCGTATACAAGTTCCGTGGCGGAACATTGGATATCTGCCTTTAAACTCGTTCTCACCCCTAAAAGAACGAGCGGTAAGGTTTCGTGCCAGTTGCCGTTTTCGTGTGCTCGTAGAACACTTTTAAGTTGGCAGTGAAACCGTTCAACTTAACCATTTGGTGCTGGGTGGTAGACGGATATGCTTATGCATATGCATTCCGTACCAAGCAGCCGGGTCAGCGAGGAGAATCGTTAATAGGGTAACATTTCTCGAATAAAGCGTGGAATTCATCATCACGCGAATAAAAAGTGACAAGGATTCGGTACACATACGTGTGAGTCTATTATATTAATACTATTCTTATCGTTATCCGTCATGTCGCGTATATTATATATTAAAAATATGAAAATATACGACAGACGTGGATAGATAAATCATAGACTCACCGAATTGACTTCTTTGGAAGATTTGATCAGAAGTTGAGGCGTGTTCCAAAATACGGGTCACCAATTGTATTCGAATTGGGATTACCAATTGTAGCGTGGCGTCGAGTTGAGATTAACTATGAACACCGCTACCAAGAAACACGTGCCAAGCGAATCAGAAGGCGAGGGTTGGCCGTAACCAAAGAAACCGATGAAATCCCCGAGAAGCCAAATACCAGAAGGCAATTAATGGACCAAGTCGATGTTTATTTGCTGGCGATCTCGTGGCATCGAAAAGATACCGAGATTGTGCCAGGATACAAGCTTGGTTACAGAAGGTAACCGAATTCGCGCGAAGTTACAATCGAAGTGTGTAAGTAAAAGAATGGAAGCACAATATAGCTGTCATTAGCACAGTCAAACAAAAGCACATTAAAACAAACACTGGTACAGTTGGTTATAATAATAATTGTTTTTATTAAACCAGTCGTGTTCTCGTGATAAACGTGAGTCACTACACACTCAATACCATTCAACCAGAAATAGTTAATTGACTCTCGGAGGAGGATCCCAAACGATTGCCGATAACTTCATGGCTTGTTCTCTTTTTGGGGAAATCATAGGATTAATCTAGATGTGTTTTTTTTCATTTGACTGTACGAAATGCGTTTATTTGAACTGGTGAAACACATAGACTCACGAGACGTTTTTATTTGCAAAATGACTAGAAGAAAATTAGTTTGGTGGATTTATTGAAATTATGAAATTACTTATTGTTAATTAGCATGTTGCAATATTTATTGGCTAATGTTCATTGTTCTAACTAATCACTACTGGCAACAAATAGTGTGGACATTCAAAGGGTGAATCGTTTTTACGTAGTTTACTGATTGCTGTTGGTTATGTGTACAGTGTGCTGACTGTATAAAAACATTGTAAATGATGCAGTTTCACAGACAGCCTCTTTTTGTGGTATACAATCACCAGCGTCTATTTACATTTAACGTTATTATGTTAGGTGTTCATATTTAAAAATCTGAACGACGCCTGCTTATAAAATGGTATCACATCAGTTAGCTCCACTCAAAAATCTAATAATAATAATATTCGTCTCTCCTATTTCATCAAAAAACGTTAGTTTTAAACCCATAGAAAATGTTCGCAATCTTCCTAATTTGGTGAAATTTCGGAAAGATCCCCGAAGTTCAAAGACTTTCCACAGTTTTCGAGAAATATTAGGGAAATACTCAAATTCAAATGATCTTTCTCAAGCTTTGGGGAAATTTTTGGAGTAGAACCCTAAACTCGGTGTCACGCATTTTTCCAGACAAACATTTTATCACCCGTCTATTTTTAATCCATTGAAGACGAAATTTCAGCTAATTAATATTATTTTTAAAAATATCATGATCTTTGTTCACGAATACTATACCAATGTTATTTTTGAAGAATTAACAAAACCAGTATTTTCCGAATGTCTTAGTTTGGTTGCTGGATTTTTATTATGTGTTTCAAGAGTCCAGGTTTTTTTGTAGAAATACATTTCAAGGTTGGCCCTGGTGTCATTAAGTTTTATTGAATTTTTCTCGTGATTTTAATCTCATAGAACTTTCATCAGTACGGTGAGACTATAATTTATGAACGACCTTCGACAGACGCAAAGGTGACCTAGGGAATGTCAATCTACTAACTAGGGTTATAAAGCGGTGTGAGGAATAAGAATATAGATTTATAGTTGATGGTTAGAGTTAGGAACTAGACATACGGTTTTCACAACGAACTGACATCAGCGAAAAAACCGAAAAGCTATTTAGCTAGATGAATGGATAAATTTTGAGCCAAAACCGAAAACCTGTTATCTTATATCTGATTGGTTCGTCCACAAATCATAGTCTCACCCAAGTAGTAACTGTTTTTCATAGTGAAGAAAATTTATGGCACAAGTAGGTCGTTTTGGTGGAAATTTGTCCTCTGATTTTATAGGTTTAAACTTGAAACTTTCATTATCCCTCCTGATAAAATCATCAGAAAATTCAAATAGAAGTGAGTTATTCGAACGTTTATGTATTTTTTGACTTTGATCTTAGTTGTTCGTTACCGACCCTTGTTATATCATTGTTCGCGTTTTTAATGCGAGTATCATCTTTTTTGATGATGTTTAAACCTCACAGCTGTTCAACGTTTTCTGCTTGATTGATAAAATAGGTTGTTCCTGATGTTTATTGATTGATGATCGACTTTTGTGGCAAGCTTAATAAAATCTCCAGGTTTCTTTCGCATTTCTATAGTTTAAGTATTGCATTTTCCCGGATGAATGCATGTCTCACTATAATAAACTTGGATTAATATAAAGGACTACATATTGTGGTGTTTGATATATATTTGGAGTACATGTATGTGTGTGTGAAAAGGGTGGCCAGTTTCACATGTATAGTGTTTATCGGATTTGGAGTTGTTTGTTTTGTGGATGTTGTTTGGCGTTCCTACTTTCGTCATTGTATCATTTGATTTTTGCAAAGTCAACTGAAGTAATTTTTTTGGCTTGTGTGCTACGTCCAGTCGAAAAAGACTCAATAATCTCATGTATTCTTAGTAATTGGCAGCATGATCCGCTTGTTGGTCCGCATATTTGGTTTCTCTCCTATTGATTACTGACAATTTTTTGTAAAGTTAAGTGGATAGGCGCTCTTTTTAAGAGCTATAATTAGATTCTTTTTCCTTATTATTTCTTATTTAATATGTTCTGCATGGACAAATTTGTATAGCCTATGTCTATCTTGAATTTTGAGGATGATGTTGACCAGAAAGACAATGAATTGTTTAAAATACGATCACATAGTTTAGACAATAAAACAACGGCAAAAGGTATTTTCCGTGTTTCCAACCCCTATTTCTACTCAGGATAGACCACAAAAGAGTTTTATCTACTAATCATAGAGGTTTATTCCATCATATATTGGTAGGTCTTCGGCGTTTTACCCAGTGTCTTAGATGTAAGTCGCTCACTTTCAAATCTAAAATAAATACCTGTTTACATTTTGATTAAGATTTGTTTAAGTCTGTAGTTACAACCTCTACATATTTCTTAATACTTCTTCGACAAACTTTAAGATTTTGCATCAGTAACTTAGTGATCAAAGTAGTTTTTGGTTGAGACTAGACACTGCATGTAGCATATATATGAATGTTTGAGCTCATTGCTGCAAGGGTTATTAAAATACGTTCCAAAAAGCCCTAAACACGGAAGTATATAGAACTTAAGCTTTGCCAATTTAGTCTCCACAACGAGTTTTAAGTCTCTGTACACTTGGATGAATGCGTTTCTTTATTTCCAAAATAACGTTTAAATTAGACCACGGTCCTATGTGAGTGTCGATATATGCTTTTCGATTCCTTCATATAGTGAGAAAATAAAACTAGTATGTCACATTTGATTAATGACTTACACAAAACAAGAAGGAACGAATACCTTATTTTACGTTCCAATCATTTTTCACTACTTACATTCTTGAGATTAGTTTCAAATATCCTTTGAATAAATTATGAATCAATTGATGAACAATCAAATCACCATTGTTATCAACCTATATATGCACGTTTACGTTTGTTCGTTTCAATACATTTTTTGTAAATCATTTTGCAATCTAGGTAAGGGTTATTGATATTTGACCGTTTAAATTTCACTTTTTAATCCAGCCTGGTAGATAATTAATACCTGGGTACATATTTTAGTGTAAATAATATTTAGACCACTGGTGACCATTTTGAAATACTTAGTTTCTAAACAAAGACATGCTGAAATTTTGACTTAAAATATTTTCATTATCTATATTCAAAGACTACTTAGTTGTTTATTATCGTCTTCAGTGTTCACAAATAGTTGCCATTTAGTAATGAAGAGCTGACCAGTTATAATTTTCATGTCTATTGTCAGTAACTCGTTACTGTTCTTCTAGAAAAGTTACGGTTTGTCTCATTGTACCTTGAAGCACAGGACCTCTAGTGTTCATGTTATTAACATTTTCAAGAGCCTCACTCTCATTAAAACTTGTTCTTATCTAAGCTCGTATGTGGCTTTTTTATATGAATATTAAATATTTTTCTTTTGGTTCTTTTTATTATTTTTGGTGTTAAATCATTAAATTTTACAGATGTACCATATTTATATGCTTATCAGTGCCTGTGTACCTTTATGACCCTTTTATTTCTGAGATGTATAAACTCAAACAATAATTTACATATTCCTTTGACCATCATATCAGTCCGATACCCCGTCTGTTTATTTACTCTGAGCGCTTGATCACCTGAATACATTATTTGAAATACAACATTCCCAAAACATCTCTTGATTGACTTTTTGTACTATCCTGTCGAGTAAATCTAGTAATAAAAAGAAGGTAAGCTTAAAAACACACAAAGAATTTATCAAGATTCATAATAGCTATCGTATTGGGATCGAAGCTTGCATATTTTCTTTTACCTTTGGTGCGCTGACATAAATGGTCTCAGGTTTTATACTTTTTATGTGTATCTGTTTGTCTGTATTTATGCATCACCAAATGATCTTGATTCACACAAATTCGACACTGAAGACAAAAATATAAATGCTCCTTCAATTACCAAAGTATAGGATTTATTAGGAAATGTGACTGGTTTGAGAGTTATAAATAAGGCAAGGATAATGATTTTAATGAAGATAAGTACAATGGATAAAACAATAGATTATATAATAAGATAGGACTATATATGGCAGAATAAAGGCATGACTGTGTAATTATTCAACCTTTAGGACGTTTGCATGCTCTTAAGGTTATATGTCCGTTAGACAGTAATATACTTCATTGGAAAAAGTTTCACAGCTCAATGGAAGGTAATACAAACTTTGGTCTTGACTTCCACATAACCAATCCTCAGCACAATAAAAATATCTCAATTCTGTCGGTTGTTGATTCGACTTTAAGAGGTAGAACGATGTCCACTGCTCAGAGTTTTACATGTTACTACTGGCGTTTATGAAACATTGTGAAAATAAGAAAGAAATATGTCTGTCTTTTTCTGTAAGCAGTTGTAACAGCTACCTTAGACAGTGAGAATTTGTTTTAGAAACAGCATATAAGAATCTTATAAATATTGTTAAGAAGCATTGCATACATTCTCTAAACTGTGCAGAACAACAAAGATATTAATCTTTTTTTGAATATTTACCAATAAAATAAAGCTCTACGTAAACTCTTATGTACTTTACTGAGTCACTGAATTTATTTTTCACACGGTCTGTGATAGAAGGATCTAATTCTAGCTCGATACTTGTATAGTGGAAACAAATATTGCAGAAAATGTTTATAGCAATTTATAGTTGAATGAACAAAAGAAATACATTTATTGCTGATCAGTGTTATGCATGAGATTCTTCACTTCACCTCACTTCGTCCGTATGTTCGACTCCCTTTGGTGTAGTTCCTGGTTTTTATCTCAGGATCCTTTAAGAAAATTACCATAATTTTCTTAAAAGATTGCATAGTTAACTTAAATTTAAATATTATTATACAAACAAGAGAAAAAGCCATCAAGCACAATATAGTCTGCTTAATTCGTTGGAGAATTTCTGTTACTTAGACGTTACCTTTGCCATCTGGCTATTTTCCTTGAGTATAAAACCTGCTAAATTTAGGGTAATTTTAGAAATTTTATTGTTCAAACATTTTAAACGACAATAATCGCGCTAGCTGTATTATATAACTGCGTTTCACAGGCGTTTATTGGTTTGACAGCTTTTCGCAATAGCCCGGTCATTTTCCTTACTAAAATGCTAATATGGTCGGAAAATTTCGTGTGATTTCTAATGATTAGCATTCGTCGACTAAAAACAGATTATTAGAAGGGGTTTTGTGGACATTTTAGTAACTTCAGTAGTTAAAATCATGAATCAATTGAAGCAACACAATGGAAAACCTGGAGATACTTGGCGGTCGTCTCCTCCTAGTATGGGACCCCTCATCGGTGCGCACCCGCGATCCCGCCCCTCGCGAGATTCGAACACAGGACTTATCGGTCTCACACACGAGCGCTCACTCACTGAAAACAATGGTGTATAGTGACGCAACTTCGTGGATTGGTTGAAGTTAGACATTAACACCGTTGGATGCCGTCTCAGTGGTCTAATGGTGAAGCGCTCGCGCACGAGACTGATAAGTCTTTGATTTGAATCTCGCAAGGAGCGGGATCGTGGGTGCACACAGCTGAGGAGTCTCAAACTAGGACGAGACGGCCGTCCAGTACTTCCATGTTTTCCATGGTGGTCTAGCTTCAATTGACTCATGATTTCAACTATTGTAAAGACTGAATAAGTTAAGTATAGAAGTACGTTTCTCTACTTAAGAACATGTAGAGTAAGTATGTGTCTTTGGGAAAATAATACATTTTATGGTTTATAGTTTCATTTATTGAATCAAACATCTAGCACTTGCTTAAGACTTTCACTATCTTCTCCCTATAACTTGAGTAGATTGTTAGAATATTGACTGGTATGATATAAGTGTATTTTAGAGATTATTCTCAAAGTCCTAATGAATAATACTCATCCTTGCATTAAAATGCAGGGAATTCGATTGAGATCCAGCACCATGAGATTTGTATACATAATAAAAAAGCAATCATTCCGTTAAAATCTGTATATAAAGTCCATTAGAATTAAGTTTTTAAAATGTGTCCCAAATGAATGTATCCCGAAAGATCACAATACATACAACTCAGCGTTTTGCATTTTAGCAGAATTTGTTTTTCATGATTGCTTAAATGTTTCTCATTCATTATTTGTTTTGAAATGTTAGATAAAAATCAGCTTTTGCAAGTTATTTTTCAAATTTTATCAGATACCAGAGCATAGTTAACTGAGACTGGAAATGAGAAGAAATAACAGAAAATTTATACAAATGTAGTAAACCAACTTCATACTGTTTATGATGAACATAAAAGCATTGAAAAGAGCAACAATTATATCATTTACAGGCTTTTAGGTTCAGATAAACGACCACAATATTAAA